ACTGTGCTGTACCGGTATTTGACACTGTACTCATGTCCGTTCAGTGACAATTGTGCTCCAGAGGTCCGTAATGAACAAGATAGACTTTTAGTTACTTACTTTTTGTTTTCCTTATAATTAATCAAGAACTTTATATCAGATATATATCAATTTTGTGTTATGCAACATATTTAAATTTGCACTGTAAATTCTATACTGTTCTTTTTACCCTACCCTGGTCGTTAAGAAAAAAAAAAAAAAAATGGGAACCCTGAGTGTAGATGAAACAGTGATCCTAGAACTAAGGGAGTTTGGAGAGGACCTGGGTTATAAAGACGAGGCTCTTACTAGGTGGGTGGAAAGGAAACTGATAGAAAAAGATAAGCTAGAAAAGGAGGAGAGGGATAAAGAACGAGATAGACAAGATAGGCTAGAAAGGGAGGAGAGTGATAAAGAACGAGATAGACAAGATAGGCTAGAACGGGAAGAACGAGATAGACAAGATAGGCTAGAACGGGAAGAACGAGACAGACAGGCCAGAGAACGAAATAGACAAGATAGGCTTGAACGTGAGGAACGAGAAAGACAGGTTAGGCGAGAACAGCTGGACCAGGAGCTGGCACAGGCAGAGTTAATGTTGCAGGAAAAACATAATATGTGGAGAAAAGAATTAAGTAGGAAACAAGTGGCTGAAGTTGAGAAATGGAAGAGGGAGAGACAGAGAGATGATATTCGTGTGGCTAAGGAAAGCGGGAGGCAGTGGGTGAAAGTTAAAAAGAGTAAAATCACTTTTGTCAAAGAGGTTAAGGAACATATTAACGAAGTTGGGGAGGAACTTGGGTATCCTGAGGAATGTGGTGCTGATGTGGCTGAGGACAGGGAGAACGATTTGTTCATGGGGGCTATTAACGAGGTAAATTTAAATGACCATAGGGTTGACATTAAAGAGGCCTGGAATGTTTTAAATGTAGATGGAAGTCAGGAGTCAGTTAGAAATTTTACTAGCCAGGATGTTGAAAAACTGGGTGCTGCGTGTGAGAAAATTGACACAGTTGTACTGAATGTAGGCATAGAACAGTGTAGTCTTGAGGATATTTCAATTGACATAGAGACTGTAATTAGCACTGGTCTGGTACAAGAGGCAGATGTTGTTTCTGTACAGCAAGGAGATTTTGGTTTGATGCAGGAGGGCATTGTTGATTTTGTACACCAAGGACATGTTGGTTTAATACAGGATATATTTGTTGGTTTTGTAAACAAAGGATATGCTGGTTTAGTAGAGGAGGGATTTATTGATTTTGTAAACCAAGAAGATATTGACTTGGTACAGGAGGGATTTGTTAATTTTATACATCAGGGAGATGTTAGTTTAGTATCAGAGGCATTTCCTGATTGTATACAGCAAGCAGATGTTGATTTTGTACAAGAGGGAAATGTTGATAATATTAAGAAGTGGACAAGCTATGGAGATCACGAGGTAGAGGTCGTGAGCTTGTCGAGGGAGCGTATGTTTAACAAGGTGGAAGTCATAGGAGATCACCTTACGTGGAGCTACGAGGGTAGTAGTCCAGTCGGGGAATTTTGTGATGTAATAGACACTGGTTACTGGAGGTTTGAGAGCCGTGGGGACACCAAGGTTAACGTTTTTAATAATGAATATAAACCTGAATTGAAGGCTATGAGTTGTTTCCCTGAGATGGGGGTAGAAGAGAAAATATGTTTGAATTTTCATGTGTGTGATATTTATGACCACAAGAGCCAGGAGTGCTCAAATTTTGAGAGCCATGACAGGTCCGTTTTTCGTAATTTGGTGAACGTGTGTGTTTTCCATGAGTTGGGAGGTGATGTTTTTGATTTCGTCATTATAACTGATTTTGTTCATGGTTGCAATTTTAATGATGAGGAAATTATTATATTTAAGAATTTAAATGTGCAAAGATTTCATTTGTTAGTGAATAATGTGTCAAAAGGCCATAACAAAATGAAGCAAGTGAGAATTGAGAGGGAAGAGTTAAGTGTGGTGGACAAATGTGCACGCTTTTTGTCAGACGACTGACAGGCGTAATATCCCGCCCTCTTTAAATATGAATTTGGGACTGGACAATTTAAGGATGTCCACATGTGTCCATAGATGTTAATTTTTTTCCATTTAACAGGCAGAGTTTCGTTTATTTTGTGGTCAATTTCTGTGTGCGGGACAATAATTTTGTTGTCAATGTTATAATTTTTACTAATTTGAAAGCTTATATAAAATCTAACAGACGTTAAAATTTAGCATTGAAGTTTTCATTTTTAGGATGCAGTTTTCAAAAGCTTGTATGTCATTGTTCATTTTTAAAATTAATTTTCATGGTAATAACATTATGAAATTATATTGTATTCTTTATATGGCAAAATAACACTGAGTAGTGTTGTATACAGACACTATACTCCTGTGCCTGAAATAGTTAGTAGTGGTGTGTACAGACACTATACATTTGTGCCTGAGACGAGCGTTTTAACTAGTCAAGGCCGTATAATTGACGCCTCATGTAAGATTAAGATATCCTGGAGATAGTTTCAGAATTTAGGTACCTAGGCAGTATCTTTAGGACATAGCAATGTTTAGATGCTACTGTTTTGAACATGCCTAAGTAGGGGGGATGATTATGCGAACCACTGCGATATTGGGCGACGCTGGGATTTTGACGAGAGGGAGATTTGGATCTTGTCCGAGGTTCGAAAATCTTGGGACCTGGACAGGCCACGGTAATCACGACGTGGAGGTCGTGAACTTGTCAATGATATTCCTAAAACGGGGGGGGGGGCCGTGTCGAGTCCATCTCCAACTCAGACAATTTTGCTGTGGCTAATGGTTTTTACCTTAGTAACGTGTAGGAGGCTATTTTTTTAGGTTCGAAAATCTTGGGACCTGGACAGGCCACGGTAATCACGACGTGGAGGTCGTGAACTTGTCAATGATATTCCTAAAATGGGGGGGGGGCCGTGTCGAGTCCATCTCCAACTCAGACAATTTTGCTGTGGCTAATGGTTTTTACCTTAGTAACGTGTAGGAGGCTATTTTTTTCCCCCATTGTTCGAGTTAGATGAGAGAATTTTTGTTTTCATAATGTACACGTGAAGATGATATATTATGTTTGAGAGCAGGAATTGCTCAGAATTAAATGGTATTTAAGGGTTTGACTTTGTTGAGTTGGGAGGTGATACTAACAATTTTTATGTATGTTGCCAGATTGGTTAAGCATTTTGGGGTGACAATGTGTTATACATTTCTTTGTAATACATGTCGCTTATTGAAAATGTAATATTGCAATTAATTGGTTTACATTTGGTATTTACTCTTGTTAATGGTTTGATGTCTATTGACAAATTTTTGGATATGTTTTTGTGGGTGACATGAATTTTTCAAATTAATGTCAAAGGAAGCGGGGGAGGAATGTTAGGGACTTGAGTGTATAGTGTGATTGCGTGTTGGTTTGAGATTATGTGTGTTGTTTTATCTGTTATTTTTAGTATCTTGTGACGTATTGTGTGAATAGGGATATGACGTATTATTATGGTAGATGGTTGTAGAGTGTTGTTCTTTGAGTACGGTAATGGCAGTTGAGGATTTAGTTTGATTAATAAAGATATTTCATACAAGAATTATAGTTGTGAAGTGTATATAATAAACCCCTAGACAACGAAGCCAACGAACCTATTAAGGAAGAATAGGTTTGTAACAGTGATAATAGAGACGTTTGAAGAACTTAATATTGCCTTTGTTCTGCTGCCACTGGACCAAACAGACTAATAATGCCAATGCCAAACACTGAATGCTTCATTTTTTGCTCCTCTTATAAATTAAAGGAGTTGAGAAAACTTTTGGAGTCCTGTAAGCAAAAACATCCATCATCCACATAACTGGATACAAAATTATTCCCATCAATAGTTAACGGATTAATTGAAGGCATGTGGCTGAGATCCGCCAAAAATGTAATTTCCGAATTTAAAGTTAAAACCTGTGGCATTACCCACTGATCAAAATCAAGTGCTGAAAAAACTGCCTGCACCTGCTGAGGCCATAGAAGACCCTAAAACTGTTTCAGATGCAGTGCTGGATTATCTGAAGGCGTTTAAGCACTCTCCAAATATTCGCTCTGGCACTGAAACTCCTAAGAGGCATAAGCATAAGAAAGTATCTGTAGCACCAGGAAAGTCTATTTGTGCTGAGGAGCTTCAGTCTTAACCTCGGCAACAGCCTTCTGAAATGTTGCAGCAGCCATCAACTTCCCATCATACTGCTAGTACAATACATTCCTCTTCATCGAAGAATGATAAAAACATTAACTCAGATCGTGAATCCATTTTTTGGTCTGATACAGATGACGAATGGTTGCCCCCAAAGAAAAAAATAAAGAAATGTTTTTAATGTAAAATATTGATAGTGAATAAATCGAAATGATCCTTCAGCGAATGCCTAAAAGAAATTGACTTATTGTTTGAGATTTATAAGTGTTAATGTGTCGTGCTGTATTTTATTTGAAAAAACCCCATTTTGCCGTAGGTTAAAAAAGCTGTCAAAAAAATTTTAAAAAATGTCATAGTGAAACAACAAATTATAGGTATCTACTCTGCATATTAGCACCTAGGGGTTAGGTTTTAGGTGAGTTAACATGTTGAAATTTATACTCAAATGCCAAAAGTAGGCAAAGTCACCCCATTTCACTGTAGTTTTTGTTGTTCCAGTCTTTAAACTGTGGATGTTGCAAAAAGTAAATAAAAAGACCAATATATCATACAAAATATGGGTATTCTTCTATATACTTGAGGGCCCACGATCAATGTATTAATCATTCTGGCTCCTAAGGAATACATCACGGTATATAAAATTGATTGGCTAAAGAGGTGAAGAAAGTCAAGTCTCTCCAGGATGCACACAAGCCAGAGCTTTTTGTGATGAACTCTCCTGGTTATTTATTTAATCAATAGATTTGAAAAATAAAAATACTAAATCAATAAAAGATGGAACAAAAATGCAAACTTGTTATATTTCTTTACTATTTATTGTTTAAAAAAAAAATTGAATGGTTGTTTTGTTTTCCCGCTGTCACTCAGCAATTAGTTTCATCTTCTTACTCTTTTGTTCTGTTCCTGAAAGTTTTTTTTTTTAAAAAGTCATTATAAGTTAACTTTGAAATTAAAAATAAATGTTGATCATCAAAAATTGCAAAAGCAATAAAATGAGTCTTAAAAAAGCTGTCTACCATATTCCGACATACACAAAAAAGATGAAAGGTAGGTTTCATATAACAATACGCCAGGAACAAAGTCTTGTATTTAAATAAGTTAATGTTGCAAGGACTTTTTATTTATACTTTTCAATATCTACATATTAACCAAATTTTCTCACCTAACTCAAGATCTGTTGCAGATGAATTTCTTTTAACGTTTTCTCCACTCTCATTTGCTGAAAGGCCCAGGACAAGATCAGACCAAAGTTTAAAAGAAAGACACACCATCTCTTTATTTGGAGCAACATTCCTGACGATTCTAATGGAATAGTCTTTAGGCAAACTATGTCCCAAGGACAATTCAGCTCTTGACTTAAGCTCAGTCTCAAAGTCAGTTTTGGGAGAAAATGCATAACAATAGACCACAGGCAAAACAGCTTCAAGTATTTCAGTTCTTCTCAAATGCTGAGGCAAATCTTCAAGAATTCTATTGAACTCACTTAAAAATTCTATAGCAATGGCTGGAAGATTCATGATGACAAATGAAGAATTGTGACCTTCTCTAATGTCTTCTTGGACTTTTTCACCAGAGTCTGTTATTGCTGTGTTTTTTCCACCTAACTTTTCATGCATTTTTTTCACTCTGTCCAGAACATCTTGCTTCACTATTGTTCTAATAAAGTCTCTACCATCTAGATTAAAAGCTTCAACACAATCAGTGTCTATCTTATTTAAATGAATGTTCCTCTTCAAATACTCAAACGAATGTGGATTTAAATCGTTAGCAAAAACCTTGCACTTTTTTCTCTTGCCAAGGGGCACTGAAAATGGTCCTATGCCAGCAAACACATCATAAACTATGGATTTTTTGGGTATTATTTCTACAAGCCTTTGGTGTTCTGTGGCTGCAGAAAAAAAATGCAACAAGTTTTTACTAGCCAAGTTTATTACAAATAGGTTACAGAGAGAAAAAAAACAATTTGGCTTGCCTAATACCCTACTTATCCTTCCACAATTGTAAAATACTATATAGTAAGTTATTTACCAAGTCTTGAATTCCAATAAACTTTTGAAAAATCCAATTCAAATGTGCAATTGTGTTCCTTAGTTTGCGTCACATAGTTTTCAGGACCTGCTAAAAGCTCCATCTGAAAATTTCTGTATGTGTTGTCTATGGTACCCATCTTGTTGACTACAGTCTTCACAGAAGGCGCTTTGTCAAGTAAAACTTCACCTGGAATAATCATGCAACATTTAAAAAAAAAAAAATTGTTTAATGTAAAGAAGCCAAAACAACTTAAGACAGTAGAAACAATTTTCTTCTGGTTATTGCTGATAACACATTAAGTCCTAATGACAATAGAATAGAAATCCAACATGGACCCAACATTACTTGGCAGTTGTTTAAAGCACCATTCGGCACAGAAGGACTGAATGAATGATTAACATTATAAAATTAAAAAGACTGTTTCATGTATGTGACACAAAATAAATGAGAGAAATTATTTCTGTGAATGACCATAATTAATAAGAACATACATATTTATCACAGAGAGTTGGTGGTTAATGTGGTGAATTTTCTTTGTTTTGGAAAATATGGTCGTAAAATATTACATGATATTGGCGGTGTTATAAACAATATTGGGACATAGTAAGCAACATTAGATTTGCAATCTTAGTTTTTAAAGCATCATGAACAGTACAATTGGGCATTCAATCCTATAACTGTAAATAACCATTGGTTAGTACAAAACATTTGCTCAATTAGTAGACCAACTGACCGATTAAATGTTTGTAAGGTAGACTCTCAGGCTTTAAATTCAGATGGGCAATGTGACCAATTTGTGTAAATGATGTCACATTGTCAAAGTCACTGGGGAGAACTGCTCTCATTATGTCTGCTGTTGACCAGTTCTCATACTTCAGTTTGACCTGTAAGGGACACAGCTGTTTAATTTATTCAGTCATTTTATTACCTTGGACTTGGCACACCTAACATACTAGTTATTAACAACAATATAATAATGTAAATGTACCCTTAAAAAGCCTGTGCCTTTTTTAAATGTCACATGACTATTATTTAAGATCATAGTATAACCTTCTGTATGGTGGCATAGTGTAGTTGTTGCCCGACAGGCGATTGCCTGTATGCAAAACTTAAAAAAGAAAAAAAGTACCAGTTAGAACTTAGCCAATTGTATTCATTTACAAGAATTTATAAATAAGTCATCTATGGTATGTATCTACCTCATAAAGCACAGGGTTGTTGACATCCAAGCCAAACTGTTTTAAGGTTTCCAGCTGTTCTGGGGATAACGCATCTAGTTTAGTTTTATCAGGATCCAACAGAATCAAGCTGTGAGTTTTTCTTTCAGGGTCATTGTCCCCCAGTTCACAGACTGGTTTCAGACCTCGCACTTTGAACAGGAGTGACTTCCAAATCTTCTGAGACTTACCAATATCTTGCTTTGGGACTTTAACACCAGGTATCTTAACGAGGGTTGTAAATGCCTCCTTATTGAGGACAGTCATTCCTAAGTGAAGAAAAGGACTGTAAATTGATCATTTAAGATTGAACAAAATTAACACAAATATTTTAAAATTTACAATTATTAGCCAGGTAAACCTGGTAATAAGTGTAAACAAATTTTAAAAAATAAAAAAGGCAGTTGAACAAAAGTTGAAGCAACTTGAAGCCAATTATATATTTTTAAAGATACAGCCCGGTTTTGTTCTTAAAGCAAATTTCAATTAATTATAACTAGCTTATCGATAAATAATTTTTTAAAATCGATTCAAATCTAAGTATTCCTGAAAGGGAAGAAAAAAGTTGTTTATATATAAATAAGCTTCCTATAAGAGGGGGTTAAGAAATAATAGAATATAAAGTAAACTGAAATATGCTTTTGTTTTACTTTTACTAACCTTTTACTTCCACAGGTGGCACTACAGAGGAATTCAAATCCATTTTTGTAGAAATAGTCTGTAAAATGTATCTATAAAAAAAAAGAAAAAGTAACATAATTTATTAAGAATTCAACATTTCAAGGAAGAAGTTAGATTTTAACTTTTTTTCATAAATATCCGTCAATGATCTTTAAACTAATGTAGTTTAAAATTATTTTCTAAGTTATTGAACCCTCTTGAGACGGAGCCTTTTTGGACTGTCTGTGACAAAAAGTAACTTACTTTGAAAAAGAACGTATAAAAATAAACTAATTACTTTACAAATATAAAACTATATATATTATTGTAGGTAATTGAATAAACTAATTCTGCCTTTATGAATCAAACAGAAATCTCTTTATTTATGCAAAATAGATGGCCTGATTTGCATTTATTTATGCATGCTTTTCTTTATTTTTTTACACTTAGAATAAACATGTCTTACTTATTTGCAGAATTTTTAAAAATGTTATGATTATTAAAGCCTAGATAAGTCCTAACAAACATTTGATTGAGAATCAAAGAAAAAAAAATGTGTTGCATCTTGAACCCTTTGTACAAGATAATCTTCTTGTTTTTTATATGTTTTTTTACAATTGTAATGGGTCAATGTCTATAATTGTAATTATTCACTCTTGTGATTGTAAGTACACAATACACATTTATGGATATCCCTCCCCCAGCCAGTGGACATTTTGCATAGGTTCAGATTTAATTAACATGTCTTATTTATTTGCAGAATTTTTTTAAATGTTATGATTATTAAAGCCTAGATAAGTCCTAACAAACATTTGAATGAGAATCATAAGGAAAAAATGCATAAAATATTAACCTGGGACTTCTTATACCTTTTGGCATATTGGAAGGCCACATGTTTTTAAAGCTTTTATAGGAGTCACTAGGTACAAAAGAAATTGATTTAAAATGACAGAACACAGTAATATATCATGGGAAGCCACCATCAAAATGGTCAAATGAGCAAGAAATGCGAGAAGCAATCCGATTAGCAGGTAACAAGACCAGCCAGCCAATCTTGAGGCTTTATTTTTTATTATTGGGCAGATAGATCATCTCTTCGTTGCCATAACACTCAGGGCCAATAGATCGGCCCTGGCGCCTCAGGAGGGTTAAATAAAAAAGTTGCTGCTGAGCTCAGTGAAAATAGGTAGTTATAATTGATGTGAAACAATAATTAGACATCAAATTGTGCATTTTGAAATCAAAGATATATTTATTATATTTTATATTTCTATATATAAAATAAAACTAAAACGATAATGGAATGTGCTTATTTTTATTATCATTTTTGTTTTAACAATTCAAAAAACTCCAAATGTCATAGAAATCCTTAAGATAGAATAAGAAGGCATACTTAAGAGTCATACCTTAGTCTTGGAATCAGACGATGATTAACTTTTAAGTTTTTATTACCACTGTCACTCTTTATTAGATATTGCTCACTCCTTTTCCAAAGAAGTGAAACAGATTTTAACAACTGATATTGCATCTGTTGAAGTTTGCAGACTTTGCAGTTAATAATTATGAAATTGTTTAGAAAAATTTAAATAAACGCAGTGTTAACAAGGGTCTCTTAATAATAAATGAGAAAATAAACCACTTAAATAGATGTAACTGGTAGAAAAATTATGTTTCTGAATCACATACACTAAAAATACATAAATGAAGTCTGAGGTCATCCACATATTACTCTGGCTCAAAGAAAAAAAAATGTGTTGCATCTTGAACCCTTTGTACAAGATAATCTTCTTGTTTTTTATATATGTTTTTTTACAATTGTAATGGGCCAATGTCTATAATTGTAATTATTCACTCTTGTGATTGTAAGTACACAATACACATTTATGGATATCCCTCCCCCAGCCAGTGGACATTTTGCATAGGTTCAGATTTAATTAACCCTTGTGAAAATATATGTTTGGCAAAATGATTATTGGCAAAATAGATTTTAAGCTGACATTTAGTGAAAATGTCTTTAAAATAGATGTTGGCATTGATGCATATTTGTGTAGGAATAATTCAATCAAACAGTAGCCTGAGTAACACACATATATATGCTAAAAAACAACAACTTAAATTCAAATGTCAAAGGCCGTACCTATTAAATTTAGCTAACTAAATGGCAATTTTGATGTGGCTGTATAATGTAATTATGCAGTTGTATTGTAGGCCTTACTAATAAAAAAGAAAGAAGTTAGGCTAGGTAATTTCAGGTAAAGTTCAACTGTCTAATTACTAATATAACTTCTAATAGTACAAACTAAGAGTAAAAGTTAAAGTTTAGTTCACCCACGAACTGTTTATGTTATGTTTCTGTACTGACTGTGCAGGCAATTTAGAGCTTTTTGGGTGACTTTGCCTTTGAAAAACATGATTTTTCACATGCAAATACTTTAGCCCGCTAGACACCATTATATTTATATATAATATATTTATTGAAAGTAGACTGTAGACTGAGTGGGGGATCATACTGGCTATTTTAATGCTATTTTATACTCTGTGAAATTTTTTATCCACCTGATCTATGACTATGTAAATGTTAATGTCTAAGTCTAAGTTACTAAGTCTATGAATGATGCCATCCGCCCCATCGTTGATGATTGATGGCTAAAAAAATTAAAAAGCGTGGCGTAAAGGCATGGGTTAGATTGTGCTTGGGTATGATAAAATAATACTTTATTTACTCTTAATTCTTAGAGTTACGACAGTTTACAAAGTAATATGTTTAATAACTACTTACTTATTTTTTAAAACAGCAAGTTATTTAAAATTAATAGTCTATAGTAATAGTAATTTTTATTAATCATTCTCTTTCCACTGCAAAGTAACATGACTTTACAACTTACACTACACCTTAGCAGTATAAAAACAAAATCACCACATTGACCGCCGCGGTAAGCTCTAATTACCTAAGGCTGCGTTTACCACGGAAAGAAGCAGTGTGTCTCTTATTTCACTTTCTTGCATTAATTAATTTGTTTTGTTAATTATTTCATTATAAACGTGACTATAAAGTAAATCGATAAATTGATGCAAAAGTAGTCCCATATGGAAGAATATCATTTTCCCCGTCAAATTTGACAATATTATGACAATGACACATTGTCTTAACTGACAAAACTTTAAGTAAGTGAAACTAATTAAAGCAATTGAATACAATGATAAATTAGCGTTAACAAATATATAAAAAAATATAGAAATGCTTACCATCTCGTCCCCCTGTCTTAAGCGAGAAAGTTTCACTTATCTATAATTCTGACTTGATACCGGGAATAGCTAGAGTTTAAAAAGAAATATCTCCTTTTTTTGCCAAACTTAAATAAGAATGAGAGGTAGAAAAGATATCAAATAAAAACAGGAACGCAGTTCCCACGTGTTTCTGTAGGACCTCAAGCCTTGTGTAGGGATGATCTGCTGGTAATGTTTTTATGATCAAAATAAATTTAACTCTTTATTGTTTTTTCTGTATTTTCCTCCATAATTTATTATTTGAAATCCCTCCAAGAGTTTTTCAGCTGCTCGAAGAACGATGATGATGTGTTGTTTATTTTTTCATACTGAAATTGTTGGTTTTGTCATCAGTTGCTGCAGCAAATTCATGTTGCTGCATTTATGCACGTTGATGACTCATTTCAATATTGCCTTTCTGTTACGACCTAATGTGCTGGTGCTGGAAGTTTTTGGGGAAATCCCGTGATTTCTATACAAAAGGAAATAAATCAACATGACGATTTTCCCCTCTTTCATCCCCACATGCCCAACATCCAATCCAAACATTCCTTAAGACCTAAATCCCCTCCTGCTCATCACCTACCTCATTGACCCCCCCCCCCCCTTATTCATCCAAATGCCTCTTAAACCCATCGCTCTTATAAACTTTAATTGACCCCCCCCCCTTATTCATCCAAATGCCTCTTAAACCCATCGCTCTTATAAACTTTCACCCCTCCCAATTTCACATGCTGGCTCCCCTTTTACCCTTCCCCAACTTAATCTCAATTAGTCAAAGCCTGGAGCTTATAAAGAATCACACCCGGAGCCCCCCCCCCCCCCCCCATTTTCAGAACATTGAGCCCCCATGATTTTTTTGAGATTTTCGAAAAAAAACGATTTATTTCTTTTTTCTAATTATATTTTTCATTGTTTCCTTTTTTTTTTTTTTTTTTTTTTCTTCTTTTTGTTTTTATGGTTTCTTTTTTTTTTTTTTTTTTTGTCTTGTCTTCTGAAGATTGCTGCTAGCTGAAACGTCAATTTAATTGTCTTGTCTTTTCTTTTCAAGTCTAAACATATCTTGCTCTATTATTTCTTTACTTCACATGGCTTGAACGCAGTCCTTCACATTTTATCATATTCTCACTTATATTGTTCATTCATCCAATCTCAAATGATCCGTCATCTGTTAGGAATTAATTTTTTCGGACAATGAATTAAAAATTTTGCCATATTAAGTTACGTATTTGTGTATTGCTCTTCTTTTAATTGGAAATGCACACTCACAGGAATGTAAACACTGACCCGAATGATATTTTATCTTGACTGTTCAGTTGTGTGTAATAATGCAGACAAGGATGACATAAATCTCTTATATATATTTTGCTTCTAGTGCGTCCTGCTTCCTCTTCAAAACTGCCCCCCCCCCCAACTCCACAAATAAATTTTATATTAATAGTACAAAGTGAAAGAAGGCTGTTACGCTGCGAGCTACGTGCGTGACCTTTGAACTCAAATAAATAGGTTGATCATATTTCTTTTTAAAGGGGGAGGCGACTATTATTCGGTGTTGTTATTGTTCGTGTTCCCCTGTCACACAGCGAGAATCTTTCGTAGAACGTCATCTCTGTTTCGGGATCCGGCAACTGGCAGTTCCTATCTGTGAGTTGTCGCTTGCCAAAAACGGTTGAATGCACTCTCACTATGACATTTGACAGTAGATTTCGTTCCCTATTATAGAAAATGAGAAGTTATCTGTTTTATGGTAACACTTGGACCCACCGGAAATTTTCTCAAAATATCCGGACCTGATGTAAAAAAAAAAAAAAAAAAAAAACTGCACACGGTTAAGCATTAGTATATTATGTTCCACTGAATAAAAGTGGGTGGGGGTGTTGCAGAAGGGGATGGTCAGATTTGTGACATTTTGCATATTGGTGACTGTGAGGTGGGGACTGCTGATAAGATAACTACACCATTGAAAAAAAAAATAGTTTGGTATTTAATTAAAGTTGTGTCATAGAGATGTACATCCATGCTGACGTGCATTTATATGGATGAAAAGATGGTAATATAGAGATATAGGATAGAAAATAATAATAATAATAAACAGCATTGTACTGCTGTGCACTGGCCTTTCAAAAACCAATCTGACCCTCATCTAAAAACTGTATTGTTCCATGTAACAATCATTCACTTGTTCTGAATGTATTTACCATTTTTTATTTTATTTGGACTGAAGTTTTTGAACAGTGGATTAAATAACCTTGACCTCAATGATAATGGTTAAGGACCAAGAACGAATTGCCTAATGTGTGTGGTAATTATTTGTGTGTTGTAGATGTTTACTAAACACGCTTATCCCGTAAGACATATCGAAATAACACACCACAACCCTGAAGTCCATGGTTAATTGGTGAGACGTCGTACGTACTGCATACGGTGAGTGCATCTTGAATTAGTCTGTTCAGCGTTGTAAAATGATGTAAAACGAATAACAGATGATACTTTTTTAAAGTTAGTCACACAAAGAGGATGAATACTAGAGTGGCGCGAACTCTTGACCCTTTTCTTGGTATGTAATGGTGGCCTATTGTGCGAGCAGGAACAATAGTATACTCTCTAACTCTTTATCCTTCACCGCCCGATCTTTTATGACATTGTGTAAGATTATTTTGACGACCCTAACTTTTCTTTGTTTTCCTATAATTCAGGTGACGATGTTACGCTACACTCCAAAAGTATGTATAGTAACTAGAGTAAGAAAATTGCTGGCACTTGCTCAAGATCATAACAAAATAACCACCAGATCCTTACAGAGATGGGGTGCAGTCTTGTTAAAAGATAAAGGGACACGTGCTCCTTCAGGTAACAACACTTTTTAATTCATAACTTTAAAAGGGATCTTTTATTTTATTTTTTTATTTTTTTTAAATTGACCATTGGCGAATAGTTAGGAAAATTGCTGATTTAAATAATAATAATAAAAGAGGTCTCATTAATAATCAAACTCTACTCTTTCTCTTCAAGTGATCTCGGGTTTGTTTTAAAGGGATCTTTTTAATTTTAAACTATGTCCCATACTTATGGTGGTGTCCATACTAAGGAATCCCTTTGCACACAAACTATGTATGATATAAAGAATTTTTAGAAAAAAATATGATTTGTCATCTTTGACTGATCATTTTTAATTAGTGTTTTACACTTTTAATCATTGAGTTATTAGGTTATGTTCCTATTATATTTTTTAAATTATGTATTTTATGTAAGAAATCACTTGACCGATATGTTTTAATATTTGACTGTCACCATTATATTTTTAAAATAAATACAATTCTTCTGTTGTTTTTTTTTTTAGTGCAGCAGACAGCCAATTTTGATTCGATCAAGAGAAGAGGATTCTACATAGACGAAGTGGTAACGAGAATTTCATGTTTTTATTTTTTTTAACAAACTTTATTTTTCGTACTCAGTACGAAGCTGTAAGGTGAGTGCTTCAATGGTGGCATTTACCAGTTTAATGGTCGGTGGCATTTACTCATTTGTCTAATGGTTGTCAAAAGAATTTTTTTTTTAAAGGGCAAATGAGGTATACGCTCTACAAGAGACAGCACAATTTAAAATTTAGATTAATTTCAGGCATTAATCGTGCAGCTAAGGAAACAGAAAAAAATTGAACTTTCTTGTCGTATTAGCATTACGTCAAACTGGGATTGATTGCGAATGATGAGCAGCGTAATTAGAGTCGTTGTGTATTTAATACCGAAATTCTGAGTGAAATAAACATATATTGGAATTCGTCATTTCTATACTCACATCCTCAATTTCCACTAAGGATTGGTTGGAATGGCATAGTACGCTTGGACAGAGATTGACAGAAACACAATCATTTATTCTTTAGTTTTGATGTTATGGGAATGTATTCAGGCAAAAAAATCAGGCTAAACATTCAGAGAAGTAAATTATGCAAAATCGCTTTTAACGCAAAACCCCATTCTTTGCTTTCTAGGTGACAAACAATTCCATGAGCTCTTCATAGCCTGGTAACAAGCTATCTGTTCAATTGACAATCTGTCAGTCTATTCAGTCGAACCTGAGACATTGATGATCTCAAGTAATGTTGTATCAGCTTAAATATTGAACAAAAGGCAACTTTTCTCTTCACTTGCAACAGTTACCAACATTATTTTGTAGTACAAATCTTATAGTACTTATTGTAAGCCCGAACCATCTACTCCCAACGCCTTGTCTAAATCCGTTCTGTGACTGCGTAAACTGTCCACCGAGTCATGGTGCGGGTTTGCTTATCATCATTTAGAAAGACCAACAATATCAACGTACAGTTGCAGCTGCTGGAGATTATTCTTCAAGGCTCCCCAACACCTGCAGCTGCTGGAGATTATTCTTCAAGGCTCCCCAACACCTGCAGCTGCTGGAGATTATTCTTCAAGGCTCCCCAACACCTGCAGCTGCTGGAGATTATTCTTCAAGGCTCCCCAACACCTGCAGCTGCTGGAGATTATTCTTCAAGGCTCCCCAACACCTGCAGCTGCTGGAGATTATTCTTCAAGGCTCCCCAACACCTGCAGCTGCTGGAGATTATTCTTCAAGGCTCCCCAACACCTGCAGCTGCTGGAGATTATTCTTCAAGGCTCCCCAACACCTGCAGCTGCTGGAGATTATTCTTCAAGGCTCCCCAACACCTGGTTTTCGAAACAAATAACGTATTCTCTGCTGAAAGATTTTTTGTCGTCTGTTGTGTCTCGTTCCTTTAATAGTTTCATATTCAAACTGCCTATTTCTTCGCCTAATACAAAGTTCTTCTACAACCAGTTCGATATTTGTTTCTGATGCACTTCCTTAGCAGTGGTCATTGTTGATGCAAAGCCTCCTCTATGTTCTTTGAAGAAATGTATTTGACCTTGGACATGTGTAATGGCTACAAGTTGCATAGTCGAGGTCTTCATGCGATTGGCCTCGGAGGGAAAGTATGGGAAATTAACAGTCAGGCAATTTGATTATCTTGTACCACAGAACATTGATTTGCCTGGAAAGTATGAACTATTAGTAGGCACGAAATGCCATGGTTATATTAATAATATATGTATTATTATAAAGGCCACACGCAGGACAGGGCATGGGCGCTCACCCCGTTCGCTACCCCTGGCGTAGGCCCTGACTATAAGAGACAACATAACTGAGTTTGCGTTGTTTCTTTCCACACCAACAGTACCAACATGTGAAACACACTGGCGTGAGGGATCTGTCACTGGTTGATGACGGTAAAAATATTCAGGTGACCTGGGAGGACCAACATATCTCTAGGTAAATGGCTTCATACAACATATCTCTAGATAAATGGCTTCATACAACATACCTATAGGTAAATGGCTTCATACAACATATCTCTAGGTAAATGGCTTCATACAACATATCTCTAGGTAAATGGATTCATACATATATGTCGTGTCTCCATGTATTGTCAGAAGGGGGGGGGGGTCTTCGTTGGGAAGGGAGGGGAAGGGAGCAGCTGCTTCCAATTTGAAATGGTGTGTATGTGTGTGTGGAGGGATTTTAAAAAGAGACATCAAATTGTGACGATTGTTGACATCTCATGTTTTAGATTTCACGCCATGTGGCTGCGGCATAACTGCCAGTGTGAAACATGTTTGCCCCAAACATCGACAGTTTTAGTGGACTTTTCAAAGATCGATGACGATATCAGGGTCACATCTGCTCGAATGGAAGGTAACCAAATATAAATCAGTAAATATTGTATTGAAAAAAAAAATAAAATAACAGAGAAAGTTATGATGGTGCTTTCCCCTTGCTCATCGCCCGCCCTGTAGTGATTAAACAAAAATCAGCATTAGTAGTAGTCGTTATATCCACCTTTTATGAAATAATTACTTACAGAGATTACATACCCAGAGATTACATTCCAAATAAACTATGTAAAGAGTTTGTAAACTCTTCATTCCTTCCAAGGCCATTCATTGCGCGTATCACACGTGAGGTTTTAAAATTTGATTTTAATGACAGTGAAACTGTTTTTTTTTTAAAGGGAACAAAGCAGGTGGTCAAAATGTACAACCTGCCAATTAACTCCAGAATAAGGTGTGTACCGAGTTTAAGCCATCTAGGAAGAAGGGAACCTAGAGAAATACTGTCTCAAAGGGAGGTAGAGCGTCGCTCATGAAACAAGCACGTTAAGTTCAATCAAAGCGAGTCAAAAATGTTGTTTACATTCCAGGTGAAGATGTCATTAATTTGACCTGGACAGGTCAAGCAAGGGACACGCATCACGAGGGATTCATTTTAACCAAGTTTCTACGCCACTACTGCTACTCTGAAGCCGCGGAGCGTAAGAGACGGACAGAGAGAGCGATGAACTTTGACAACGACGTTAGTTACTGTAGTATTCTATAAGCATTTATTTATATAATACCTCCTTATTTTTTTTCCCAGCCAGGTCAGTGGTCTCATGCTGCTCAGAGGAGGAATAGATGGGCCCTTTCAAGGAATCTCAGAGCTCTTTGTAGGAATATATAGAATTTAGTTTGTAATCACATACGCCTCCCAAAATATATTCTTTTCAGAAATCATTGATAGAATGGCTCCCCATTGAAAAACAAAGGTTTAAGATCCCCTTACCTAGCTGAAGGTTTACTCGTGGCTTGATTTCTGTTGAAAAAAGTTACAAAGAAATTTTAGCTGAGCTCTGTAATACACCCCGACAGGCTTCTTAAACACGCTTCCTGTGTTCCCACTTCCGGCGACACCAATGGATACTTCTTGAGTTGTCTACTGTGCTCTATTCTTTGTTATATTCTCATTTATACTGTTGGCTGAGGAAGGCTTTATGCCGAAACGTACTTGTTTTTTTTGTCCTGTTATCTTATTCAAGCTTCACACATACCTCGTTTTTCCATTTCATTCATTTACTAAGCTTGAAAGCAGTCCTTTCATTTACATTCAAACACGCAACACGGTTACTGCCATTAATGACATGCGTACGTAATTTAAGTTGGGGGTGGGGCATTGCTATCATATATTCTTAATGTATAAAGCTCATTGAAGATATTTTGCAAAGTCATAATTTTCAAGAGTCGTTTGGTTCTCCCTTACTCATCACACCTTCTAGAACTATAAAAAAAAAAGTATCCTTCATTTTCTTTAAATGAATTTTAGTTTTTAGTAACTAAACCATTATGTGAGTCATGGATGCGAAATATTTGTTCATATGCATTTCCTGTATCTCTTCTATTGAAAACATAATATAGAGAGTGATACCTGAGGTTGAATTTGATGACGTCATGAAAAACGAAGAGGGACTGTACAAGTAAGTTTTCAGATAAGATGTCTACCTACGCATGCGCAGACCAGCAGAAATCTAGTGGTCAAGTTGTAGATTATGATGGCTAAAGTGTGTGTGAGGGTGGAAGAGTTTTTTTTTTCACGAAATTTATAAGTGCAGAATCCCCCTGAACTCTGGTTTCTCCCCGGGACTCTGGTTTCTCCCCGGGACTCTGGTTTCTCCCCGGGACTCTGGTTTCTCCCCAGGACTCTGGTTTCTCCCCGGGACTCTGGTTTCTCCCCGGGACTCTGGTTTCTCCCCGGGACTCTGGTTTCTCCCCGGGGCTCTGGTTTCTCCCCGGGACTCGGGGTGACATGTTTGTAGCTGCATGCCGACTAAAGAGGCGCCGCCACCGACCCCATAGTGCTACCCGGGGAACATAACCACCATTGCGTGATCCTGGGTGGACAGACAAGGGTCATGCATAAGATATCTGCCGAAATTGGTAGCCTCTGCAGTGCTACTACCAGCTACGGACACATCTACAGGGTTAGGATCATGATAACTGTGTTGCCGCATGAAATGGGGCGTGGCAAACTCATGACAATGATTCTATTTACACGGCCATTGAGGACGCTGTTCGTAGTCAAGTTTTTCGTCCGCGCTACTACGTGAACTAGTTGCGAAGTAAAAATCCGCTATCGAAAACTCTATTAGATGCAGGGTTTCTTTCAGCTATATCTCTGGGAGGGCACTGCCCCCACCCCGGGGAAAGCCAAGTGCCCCCCCCCCCTCCGGAGCAAAAATATTTCCAACAAAAATCTGGCGGCCCCCCCCCCCCCCCGCCGGGGAAAATTTCTGAAATAATCACTGATTAGAGCCATTAAAGAAAGTCGGTCGACTGAAGTTAGGGGCGGGGGGCTGTCCTAGCAGGAGGCGTTTCTCCAGCGTGCCGCTTCGCTGACGCCATTTCCTAATGTACTTAAGAGCCATAACTTTTCCTTTATTTAGATTCGAAATCAGTTAACAGTTTTCTTCTGCCTATAATCATAATAAAGGTTCAGTTTAATATTTTATACCTTTAGTTCATTATAAGGAGTTTGTATTGAAAACTTCTATGATCCAACTTTTTAAAGTAAAACTTCAATATTCATATTAAAAGAAAGAAGAAAAAAATACCTGAAGTCGTATTTGCTTCTGGAATATTCCAGGTGGCTCACAGCATTAAGTGATAGAGGACTTTGTTTGGTTAAAAGTGTACCCACTGTTAGAGGGACCATACGTCAGGTAAGATTCGGGATTAAAACACAACAGGGAATCTATATACTAGAGTTCTAGAAAACTGTGGGTATTATTTATACAAGTTTGTTTTAAAGAGAAAGTCTTTCCAATGAGTGATGATTAACGTCACAAATAACATTTCTTAACTTGAGATGATTAAATGATTATCTTTTTGATGTCATCGCGTTGGTGGCTTGAAACTCAATCTTGTTGTTTCGGATTATGTATGAATAGGGCGTCACCCTGACAATGTCTAGATGTCTAGAAGCAAATGTCGGGTAATAGCGTCATCAAGTCAATGTCTAGATGTCTAGATGTCTAGAGGCAAATGTCGGGTAATAGCGTCACCAAGTCAATGTCTAGATGTCTAGATGTCTAGAGGCAAATGTCGGGTAATAGCGTCACCAAGTCAATGTCTAGATGTCTAGATGTCTAGAAGCAAATGTCGGGTAATAGCGTCACCAAGTCAATGTCTAGATGTCTAGATGTCTAGAGGCAAATTTCGGGTAATAGAGTCACCAAGTCAATGTCTAGATGTCTAGATGTCTAGAGGCAAATGTCGGGTAATAGCGTCACCAAGTCAATGTCTAGATGTCTAGATGTCTAGAGGCAAATGTCGGGTAATAGCGTCACCAATTCAATGTCTAGATGTCTAGAGGCAAATGTCGGGTAATAGCGTCACCAAGTCAATGTCTAGATGTCTAGATGTCTAGAGGCAAATTTCGGGTAATAGTGTCACCAATTCAATGTCTAGATGTCTAGATGTCTAGAGGCAAATGTCGGGCAATAGCGTCACCAATTCAATGTCTAGAGGCAAATGTCGGGTACTAGCGTCACCAAGTCAATGTCTAGATGTCTATAGCCAAATGTCGGGTAATAGCGTCACTCTGTCAATGTCTAGGTGTCTAGAGGCAAATGTCGGGTAATATCGTCACTCTGTCAATGTCTAGATGTCTGGAGGCAAATGTCGGGTCATAGCGTCACTCTGTCATGTCTAGATGTCTAGAGGCAAATGTCGGGGAATAGCGTCACTCTGTCAATGTCTAGATGTCTAGAGGCAAATGTCGGGGAATAGAGATCCGTTCCCTTTCGTTAGCCTAGTCTAGTGGGAGGTGGGAGGTGGGGTGGGGTGGGGTGAAGCTAAGAGATCAACTTCCAGTTTTGGAATTAATATACATTGTGGCTCAAACATCCATTAAATTAATGTGCCACGTGGCTAAAGAATCCATTAAATTAATGTACCACGCGGCTAAATCATCCATTAAATTAATGTGTATCACGCAGCTAAAACATCCATTAAATTAATGTGCCACGTGCCTAAAACCTCCAACAAATGAAGACACGGATGTGATGTTTGTCATTTGTTTGCTTGCTCTAGGTAGCTGAACGCATAGCTCCAATCCAGCATACAATATACGGAGACGTAAGTACAAAACAATAAAACATAATATTAATAATTTGACAAGTAAAATAAAGTCTTGTATACAATAGTGTCAAAAGGAAGGGGGGGGGGGTTGGTCCGCGGGCTGCATGTCACACCGGGTGACACCTTCACAGTGGGGTGACACCTTCACAGTGGGGTGACACCTTCCCAGTGGGTGACACCTTCACAGTGGGGTGACACCTTCACAGTGGGGTGACACCTTCACAGTGGGGTGACACCTTCACAGTGGGGTGACACCTTCACAGTGGGATGACACCTTCACAGTGGGGTGACACCTTCACAGTGGGGTGACACCTTCACAGTGGGGTGACACCTTCACAGTGGGTTGACAACAAACGGAAAATTGCAAATTTGACAGAGCTCGCTCAAGTCAGTTTTATTACAAATCTACGTTAAATACAAAAACAGCGGACTGTGTCACCAGATAAATCAGGTGCCCCAAGAGCTCTGTGTCTCTGAGCCAGGTGTCACCAGAGTAAGGTGTCACCCGGAGTATGGTGTCACCAGAGTATGGTGTCACCAGAGCAGGCAGACTCGGAGGAGGTCAATGTAAAAGTATGGAAAGGGTGGCACCTTGAGTTTACCGCACCAGGTGACACCAACTTAGTGGACGCCACTGCATGTATTCATACGCAGACGTCCGGATGCTATCATTAACTCTTTCAATTTCTCTAATATACAAAACTTAGCTTTATATACACAGACATACATTCTAACACCCTGTACTTCAGACATACATGCTAACACCATGTACTTTATAAATACATTCTAACACCATGTACTTCAGACATACATTCTAACACCCTGTGCTTTAGACATACATTCTAACACCCTGTACTTTAGACATACATTCTAACGCCATGTACTTTAGACATACATGCTAACACCATGTACTTCAGACATACATTCTTACACCATGTACTTTAGACATACATTCTAACACCCTGTACTTTAGACATACATTCTTACACCATGTGCTTTGGACATACATTCTAACACCATGTACTTTAGACATACATGCTAACACCATGTACTTAAGACATACATTCTAACACCATGTACTTTAGACAATCATTCTAACACCATAAACATTAGACATAAATTCTAACACCATGTACTTTAGACATACATTCTAACACCATGTACTTTAGACATACATGCTAACACCATGTACTTCAGACATACATTCCAACTCTAGTACTTTAGATATACATTCTAACACCCTGTACGTCAGACATACATTCTAACACCATGTACTTTAGACATACATTCTAACACCATGTACTTTAGACATACATTCTAACACCATGTACTTTAGATATACATTCTAACACCCTGTACGTCAGACATACATTCTAACACCATGTACTTTAGACATACATTCTAACACCATGTACTTTAGACATACATTCTAACACCCTGTGCTTTAGACATACATTCTAACACCCTGTACTTTAGACATACATTCTAACACCATGTACTTTAGACATACATTCTAACACCATGTACTTGAGACATACATGCTAACACCATGTACTTTAGATAGAGGCCGACCGAAAGTGATTTTCTGATTTCATCCGAAGCCGAAAATAAGCCGAAAGTTTAAAATGACTTTCGGCCGAAACCGAAAAAATGCCGAAAGTTTAAAAATGACTTTCGGCCGAAACCGAAAAAAGGCCGAAAGTTAAACATGAATTTTGGCCGAAACCGAAGCCGAAGCCGAAACCGAAAATGAAATATTAATATATTTTGAAATTCGTTCCCGCATACATTCTGCATACATCGAAAATGATGTGGGAAAGTATAATTATTTACATTCTTTTTATAAAAAATTAGATAATTGTGAATATGAATAAATAAACATCTAATATAGGGGTCTCAAACTCGCGGCCCGCGAGCCATTTGTGACCTGCAAGATGATATTTTGCGGCCCGCTACATGACAGAAAAGTTTAGTGTAAATGCGCCGGCGCGTTTCCCC